CCCCAAAACCCCAAAACCCCAAAACCCCTTGATTGGCTCTCAGTGAAATTAATGAATTAAGATTTTGTTGAGAAATTAAATTTAAATAAATTTGTGATTCATCTACTTCATTGATACTAGCTTTAAATATCAAGAGGGAGTAAAATAGATCACAATAAGCTAAATACTTTGCCATTATTCCCATTAAACTATTCCTATTCAGCTCAATCCATTTCCTCATTGCTTATCATCCAGTGATTGTTATTTTTCAACTTAATCTTATCTTTATGCATTGAGTTTCAACTTAGCTTCCTTTTATTTTCTGAACATATCCTCCATTGAATTTTGAGTATTTTCCTTTTATTTTATTATAACCTCAACTTGATTAGTAATCTATTAAACTAAATTTTCTTTTTCCACATCTTAATCTTTTTTCTTTTTACTTTGACTAGTTTATTTAGGAATTTTATTCATAATCTCTAAGGGTGTCTCATTTTATGAACTAGAGAGAGAAGTGTCTTTTATTGTATCCTTCACTTTTTCGTTTCCGGTTTTTGGTGTCTCATGTTCTAGCAGATGATCTTAAGGATCAAAATTAATCACTTCCTTAACTTTGAATTTAGTATCTTTATCTTGCTTAATTTATGTGAAATCTCTAACTATTAATTTTATGATGGCATTCCCTTCTTTATTCTCTGATGAATATGGCTAGTTTTAAGCTTTCAGTAATTTATCCATCGTTGAAAAAGTAAGATAACGGCACTTTCCTTCCCTTAAGTTAAATTAATCTGTCATCTATTTTATTACATCAGGAGTAAAGATAGAAGCATGTTTAATAGTATCTATTTGCTTATCTAGCACAGACCAAATAATAGTATCATCAAATTCTAGGAAATTACCCAAAACTAGAACAGTTTAAAGTATCCTTCTTTATGATATGGATTTATCATAGACTTTATTATAGTATTTATCCTTAATTAAATATCCAATTTCCTTTTTGAGATTCGGTGTTAGATATATTGTTGAATTTTTTATGTATCTCAAACTCACAAGGTACTCGTGATCAGTTTTAATTTTCTTAATATAATGAGGAGCTAGAACACCCATAAGTAAATTAAAGTAAACTATGTCAGGTTATTTATATAATATAAGCTTCGACCAAGATTCAAAAAGATCTAATTTAACCTGATCATGACATTCTTTCTAGACTACTGATTCATAAGATTTTTTCAATAAGATTTTGATTTACATATTTGTTATATTAGGGACAGGGTAATTGCTTAATGAGTAGATAAAATCTGCTAAATCTTTCTTATTGCATAAGGGAATTTCATCAATATATTCAATATATTTATTGAAAATGGTCTGAATTGCTTCAACCAAGGCAATTTTCTTCATTTCTACTTACTTGTAATTTATTTCAATAAATTTCTATGATATCTCATCTCTTAATGCAATTTGTTTACTATATACATCTACATTATTTTCAAGAAATTTAGAAATGTTAGATTTTACGAAGTCAAGCTTTGCTATACTTAGGTTTAATTTAGCCATTGCTCTGTATAATTTACTAAAGCTGAAAAAGCTAATAGTGAGTAATGACTGATTAAATAAATTCAATAGATGGCTCTCAATGTACAACAAAGTAGACTGTGCAAAGTTTGATAATTCATTAATTTATACCTATTTTTCTTATAATTTATATTTAACATTGCCAAAATATGATTCTGGTTCAAATAGTTCAAGAATTAATTGATGCATAGCTTTTACTTGCACTTCAATATTCATAGCAGAGTAAAAACTGAGCATACCAATTTATTTTTAATCAATATCCTAGCCAACAGAAAATTCTGGATTATTTATTATATGGTTGATTAGTAAGGTTTGTCTAGCTATCTCGGTCTTATCTTATGAAAACATTTACAACAAATTTGTTAAGTTGACTAAATTGAATTGTGAGAGATTTTCAAAAACCTTTAAAATTAGCACTCTTTCACATTTTTTCATATCGCCATAGTGATCCCCATATGAATTATTAACTAATTTCCCTATTTAGGCTAGAATATCTAGTTGTAGAAAATAGGAATTAGGATCAGTAAGCTTTTTAGCAATCTTTAGTAATGTTTCATCAAATTTGAGAATCTTTTCTTACTCAAATAAATTGATTCTCAGATATCCTTTTATGATGTACAATATATTAGTACATGCTTCATTATCGAAATTGTCAAAATTAGCATTTGCTAGCACAGATTGAAATTTTTTATCTATTATACTCCAAACAGTTTTATTGGCTTAGTTTTCTTTGCTTAAGGCGTCTACAATATAACTCAAGTCTAAGACTTTTTTCTCATATATCTAACTTGACTTCTAAAGTAGTACTTCAATCAGTCTCTTATTGACAATTTACCAAAATTATTGAGAGAACTATCTTTTGCTATTGATAATCTCTGACAAAATGTAAGACATTAATGGTTTATCCATTTTAGGGATTTCTAGGCTCAAAATTTTCTCAACCTATTCACTCGAAACATCTGTTTCCATCAATGTCTTTCTTGCGTTTGATACTCTTTCTGCTTAGGTTAATCTTGATTTATCTCTGGAGATCATCTCAACCAAGAATTTCTAACTCTTGTTCTTGATCACACCCTCAGGATCTCTAGAAGTCCTTTTCTCGAATTAATTCATCTATTATATATCATGGAATCACTTTGAGAATGCAAAACTTTGAGGATAAGTTCCAAGGATATATTTGATTGGGTGAGGTTTGATAAATAACCCCAAATACTTAGTGTTTTTAACCATAAGCATGATTCACAGATTTATTTTTATTAATTGATTTAAGGCTTAATAAAATTATAAATTTAAATTGGAATTTAGAGCTAAGCTTGAGTTAGGAAATTAATAATTGATACTAAAGTTTATATTAGTAATATAATAATATATATTTATATTAAGATGATGTAAGAGGGAAATACCAATACCAGTAGATTGTAGGCTCTCAACAATAGCAATTATACCCCGACCAAACAGTCTGAGGAGTTTAATTCTATGAATTTGAAAGAGCTTCCAGACTCAAAGGAAGATAAAATCCAAATTAAACATAGAATGAACATATGCCAATGGATATCATTTGGATTTTTAACTCTGGTGTTCTTATTCCTGCTTGGGTTCTTGATTTATCAATGGTCCACTTGGAGCAAACAAAGAATCAACAGATATGGTTGAATAAATCTATACCAATATGTTCAATCATATCTCTTGCATAAAGTTCCACAACATATTAACATACCATAATATACTTAAATATAGATTATCATTATTCTCTTTTTTCAGCCTCTTATAGGCAATGGGGTTTTGGGGTTTTGGGGTTTTGG